CGTACGTTCGCTCACGCTCCTGGTCAGGCCCTTGTAGACTCTCGCCAGGGCCGACCTGCTTGGACATCATCTCATCGACCTCGCGTTCATACCGATCAAGCCACGAGCTCAGCTCATCTTGCTGCCCCTCGACAGTAGCGAGTTGGCGTTCGATTTCCTGGGTGGCACGTTCGGCGTCCACTGTGCTGCCATACAGTTTTTGCACCTTGCTGCCATTCTCAACAATCAACCTATCCCATTCAGCGACCTTCTCGGCTTGATCCCGGAAGTCCTTCTGGTATTTGGTCAAGTCTGTCGCCCATCGGGTGATGATTTCATCCATAGTCTTGTTCTTAAGGCGCGATTGTGCCGGGGGAGGCGGGCCAGCAGTCGATGCGCCAAGAGCAGGTCCGCCAGTTGCGGTGGTAGCACCCGTACCTGTGGTTGCTGTAGTGGTGGCGGCTGTGGTAGGACCAGATGTCGCAGTCAACGATGGCTTGGCGGCAGTGCCGGCTGTGGTGGATTCTGCGGATGTGCTTGGGGGTTGCGTGGTCGCAGTCTCGGCGGGCTTGCTAAACAAGTTCCCTGTTGATGCTGCGGGCTGTGATGCAGTGGTTTCTGCGGGTTTTGATGTGCCTAGGCCCCCGAATAAGCCACCGGAAGGAGCAGCTGCGGGAGTAGAAGAAGACGCAGCAGATGACGTTGTTCCACCGAGAGAGAAGAGAGGTTTCTGTGGAGTAGCCGAGGATGTGGCTGTCTGGGTGTCCTTCGATGCTGCATCAGCGCCAGATGACGGAGCCGCAAAGACAGAAGATGTTTGTGTGCTCGAGGCGGGGGCAGTTCCAAAGAGAGATTTCGGTGCGTTGTTTGCAGGTGTCGCAGGCTTTATGGGTTCGGCTGGTTTGTTTGCGCCGAGATTGCCAAACAGGTTACTGCTAGTAGTAGTAGACGATGGGGCACTCTCTTGTGTTGTCGTTTTGAACAAGTTGCTGCCACCGGACTGACCAGCCCCACCGAAAAGTGAAGGTGCAGACGTAGCGGGCGTTGAATTAGATCCTGACGAGGTTGTTGCTTGTCCAAAGAGGCCGCCAGACTTTTGCTGTCCGAACAGAGATGAACCCTGTGCGGCAGCACCTCCCTGTGGCGGAGGACCAGCAGGAGTAGTAGACGGCTGGCCGCCAAAGAGTGGGGTTGAGCCAGACGATGCAGGAGTTGCTGTAGTTCCAAAAAGGCCGCCTCCAGGTTTGCTACCACCACCGAACATTCCACCGGTGCCAGTTGCCCCCAATGCTGGCGTCTCTGCTGGCTTGTTGGGTGTTTGTGCGCTAGAAGCCGCGCCACCAAAGTTGAATGGAGGAGTGCTGCTACCACTGCCAGCGTTGGCACCAAATAAAGAGCCGCCTTGGTTGGACGCCGCGGCGGTTCCAAATGGCGAAGGTGAAGCAGTGCCGCTTGTGGTTGCTCCTATATTTCCAAAGATACCGCCGCCTGAGCCCGTGTTCGGGGCGCCAGCCGATCCAAATAGGCCGCCGCTTGAAGCCCCCGACGAGCTCGGTTTACCTCCGAAATTGAACGGCATGGTGCGGAAATGTATTAACAAGGATGTCGCGATAGGGCAGCCCTAGGAAACAGACAATCAAGTTAGCAAGATTCGAGCCATTCGCAAATAGGAGAAAAGATTCATGGAGTCGTACTGCGCCCAAAGATGGAGGAAGATTCGGTTATCCGGGAGTAAGTGCAAGACACCACCGGAAGTGAAGCAATAACAACACCGGACAGTCGCTCTGAGCGGATAATAAAGCAAGATACCCTACCGCTGGAGAGCTAGTCACGAACTTTGTTGCGCTACCACAGCCAATCACATCAAGGCGCGCTTATTAGCGTCTAGCGTCTATATCTGAGGCCTTAGGCAATGAATATACTTGGCCTCAGGCGCTCAGGCCGCCCACGGTCGAGGCTGGACTTCGTCACCAGACGATCTGGATTCCCTCCAAGCTGCAACCCGCTCTCGCTGGCCTTGCTTCCTTTTGTGCTTCTTTTTGTCTTCTATTCAGCTAAAACGCATCGTTTCTACACCTATATGACCCTTTTTGGAGCCAAGAGCCTACTCTATTTTCATGTCGGAACGCCCCTCTCCTCCGTCCAGCTCGTACTTGGAGCCCCCGAGGCAGAGCGTGGAGCTTGAGGACCCAGGGGCCCCTGACCATAGTAAGCGCTCATGCAGTCCCACGCTTGATCATTCGTCGGCATCTTTATGTACTGACATCTGTATTTAGCAGTCTCCGATAGCGACGAAGAACATTTCTCAGATGCCAGCGAAGGCAACTCACGCTCTCGCTCCCGCCCAACGTCTCGTGCTTCTCCTGTACCCCGGACTCGGGTGGAGAAAGTGGACGATGTCCCTTCCCATGGTGATGTCCCTGGGACCAGCGCCTATGAAAAAAGAGAGCAAGATGCTGTTCCTGACGAGGTTGAGGTGATCTCACGCAGCAGGAGCCCTTCCGCTGCGGGGCAGCGCCGCCGGTCTGTGACCCCAGGCGGCACGCGCATTCCCCGGACTGTGGTGGAAAAGGTTGACCCCGGTCAACCAAGTTACGGCGATGTTCCTGGGACAGAGGCGTACGAGAAGCGAAGAGCAGATGCTGTCCCAGATATGGTTACCAAAACCTCAAAGTCAACAACACCTTCCGGGTCTCCCACAGAGTCCGCCGAGGCCAACTCCACGACTACGCCTGTTCCTGGAACGCTGCTCTCTGAAGTTGACGACACACCGGACGATGGGACACTACATTCTGGTCCGCATGCCCATCGGAGACGCCCGAGTGACACATTGCCGGATGCAAAAGAGACGGTCTCAGACTCACCCGGTAAGTATCCAGTTCTTTACTCCCTTGGAGGGCTCAAAAACTCAGGGACGATTGACCAATTCAGATCTTGCGCCTCAATCAAATAGCCCCACGCATCCGACTCACACTCGACGAAAATCAACATTAACGGGAGGTGAACCTCCTGAAATCACAGGCGGCGATGACTTTGACGATTTCGAGGAGGGGGGCGATGATGACTTTGGCGACTTCGACGAATTCGACGACGGCTTCCAAGAACCAGATACGGTTCTCGACGAACCCAGACCTGTCTCTCTACAGCCCCCTCAACAAACAGCGCCGCCTTATGTCGTAAGCCTTCCGCCGTAGACAGTGCTTGATTCCCCTGTTAACTCGCGAAATAGCCTCTATTAGATTTTGAATCTATTCAATCTGTATCCGACCTACTCACCATTCTAGACGAACCCCTTGACCGACTTTTCCCTGCATCTAAAGCCGCGCTCTCCGGCCAGTCAGACCTGCAACCTATTTCTAATTCCTCTGCCATCTTCAGCACTGAGCGTTCACTTTCTCTATGGTCTCAGCTGGTTGCCCCACCCCCGCTTCAGCCTCAGAACTGGGTCAAGTCCCGGATCCGCCGCCTCTTCCTCGTTTCCCTTGGTGTTCCGGTAGACCTAGATGAAATCCTACCTGCATCAAAACAGAACAAACTCATTCTTCCATCCATCAACATCGGCGCTTCCAATTCGGCCGCCACCGGCACGCTATCCCGCTCTCAAAGTTTAGCCAGAAAGGACTCGCAAAGCGGGCCAAATAGTCCACGCACATCAAGCACCGCAACTCAACAACGGTTATCTAGGCGGCGCGAGCCCTCCCCCCCGGAGCTCGATCTCACGGCAGTTCGGCGACTTTGCACAACCACCGACGCTGCGCTGGACGGACTGACCGACATGGAGCTCCAAACCCATGTCAAGGAGCTTGAGCAAGCCACTTTGCGCGCCTCCACTGTCCTCGAGTTCTGGCTCAAGCGCCGCGATGGCCTCGTAAGCGAAAAAGAGGCTTTCGAGGGTGTAATAGAGAATCTAGTAAACCACGCCCGGCGTGTACGCAAATGATGAACGAGGAACGAAGCAAAAGAACAATCTTCGTGAACTATATATGTTTTAATCATCCATCCACCCATCCATCCATGCCTTGACCAGCCCATAGATAGCGCTTCTTCTTTCCCTTCACCTCTTGTACCTGCTACTTCTTAACATTGCTCAGACCTCCTGGCTCTCTGCTCCCTTTCATGTTTGATATTATGGCCCAAGAGCGAAGCAAATGATATCGAGCTCCTTGGACACTTACTTTTCTCTCAAGCCTTTTTGGTAATCTCATCGCATAGCAAGCGTTGACTTCTTGTCAAGTTGCATCATGTAATCAAACGTTCTCTTGCATAATACGTATGTCAACAAGCCTTTGCTCATCAATGCTCGTTGAACACGGCATCGGTCGTGATACTCAACATATCTATGGATGGGCAGGGCCTTACGCCCATCAGCTAGAAATACTACATCTCCAAGGCATCAAGCCATCAAGTCCGGGCGCGGCAGGGCTATCAGTGCGCTTTAAGCAACTCTAGAGGCCTAAACGATGCAACTACGAGTTCGTTAGGTATTTCAAAAATACAGTGCATTCCTCGTTCATTCATGACGGAGTGCGGGCTACATACAGTAGAAGATAGGTAATCAACCGAACCCTGCTTTTATCTAAAGCGCCAAAAAATCGACGAAACCCGCCATCATAAGATACAAGAAATGGATCCGGTACACCATGTATACCAATAATAATAAGTCGGTAAAATGATTCTGAGCGCCAGGTGCAGTTTAGGCCAGTCTATTCTAGTTGAATGACTTCTTATTCGCCGCTGAGAGTAATGTACTTTGCGACGAATGGTGCTTTCCGGCAACTGGGCATGATTCACAAAAGTGACGGGGCAAAGATAAAATAATGGCAGAAAGATATAGAAGAAAACACCAAAATGGACATTGGATCTGAAATCGCGGGGTATCATCCTGCAACAACCGTTGCGCCAGTAACTGTGCAAATGGGAGAGAAGTCGACTGAAAAGAGCCGAACGGGCAGAGAAAAAAAAGGAGAAAGGAACCATAAAGATGCGGAGTTAGGATGAATCAGGCTAGTAGATCGAGCTCATCAGTCCAGGACAATGACTGTGGGAGACTGATTCGGCGTGCGATCTGGCACAGAGGCGGAGCGATCAACCTTCGGCCGTCGGAGGCCGTTCTCATGAGCGCTTGACTTTCGCTTCAGAGTCGTGCGGGAAGGCTGCTGCTCAGAAGAAGGGACATCATCGTCACTCTTTACGTCCCAAGTACCGTCGGCTTTGATCTCCAGGAAGCGGGCGCCATCACACCGATTCATACGCTCCAACTGGTTGCGCACATCGGCAAGAAACTCGTCAATAATGAGATTCTGGGGACGAGCATCTCGGCTGCAGATGGGGCATTTCCAGTCCGCTTCTATGGCAGATTGATCTCCAGATTTAAGAAGGCGAGTCTGCAGGAACGTCTTATGGTCAAAACATTCGGTGTGTTCACAATGACGACCGCGCACAGGTACATCAAAGATGCGTGCAGTATACGGATCGACAAGGGTGACCTTCAGATCATCACTAACAATTCTTAGCTCGTCATCATCATTCTCAGGGTTGCGTGCAAGCCTGGCATGGATACGCTTTTGAGAGTCAGCAGCGGGCAGAGGTTGGGCGAGGGCTTTCGCAAGGGCGAGGGAGCGGAACGTGAGTACTTCGGCAGCCACAGCGAACGTAAAGTTTTTCTGTTCAGCTGAACTCAAAATGAAGCTAATCTCAATCTTATTGACACCTTCCAGGAGAGCTGGAGTGATGTCCAATGGGAGATCCCTGGTATTGTGGATTTTCCGGCGCGGGAAAAGCTCCATGTTGTTGACATGCACGTATATTGCGGTAGGCCACGCAGTCTCAGCAACGCACCAGGAATGTACATCCAAGTCATTAGTTAATTTTGGGACCTTGACGCATCTGATGCGGTAGGTTTGAGTGCCCTCCTTGAATGTCCGAAGCACGCGACCCCCCTTATCTTGCTCTTGATAGAATGCGCGTGTTCTCATCTCATTGTTCGATAATGAAACCGCCTCTTTAATGGGGCCGTCTTCCTGGCGGAGAATCTTTGGTTGCATGAGAAATGAGGTCATGTGCGGCAATAGCTCCGTTTCGCTCATGCCAGTGGCATCGATCGAAATGAACCTGTTGACCGGATCGCGAAGATGAGCCTGATGGATTGCAAGTCGATTAGGGTTCGGCCGTGTGTTCATAACCGGAGGGACATTGGGTGGGGGCAGAAGCGGCGCCCAAAACTGATGGCGTTGCCGTTGTGGCTGCCGGGAATGCTGTTGCTGTTGTGCCGCATATTGTAGCGTTGGGAGCGGTATGCTGTGACCTGCTAGCGTCTGCGACCGCCGAGGTGGATGTTGAACGAGCGTCGGGCTCTGTATCCCTGTTTGTTGGGGAAGCTGGTGACCTGAAGAATGCTGGAACTGCGGAGGGCGCTGAGCGTGCTGGTAACGTTGAGCATGGTGGAGTGGAGGTTGAACTAGTGCTGGGCTCTGTGATCCTGTATGCTGCGAGGTTCGGCGACTCTGAGGTTGCTGAAGTTGCTGAAAAGGGGGCTGGGCAAGTGCCGGGCTATGTGGCCCTGCGTTCTGAGGATGCTGAGAGCCAGGATGCTGATACTGAGGCTGAGGCTGAGGTTGCTGAGGCTGCTGAGGCTGCTGGAGTGGGGTTTGGGCGAGTGCCGGGCTTTGTGGCCCTGCATGTTGAGGCTGTTGAGGTTGAGGTTGCTGAGTATGAGGGTGCTGAGAGTGCTGAGGGTACTGAGGGTATTGAGGCCGAGGCTGGTGGGAATACTGTTGACATGGGTGCTCTGGAGGTAACTCGCGCGGCGTCATGAGTTGAGGCGTCGTAGTGGTTACGACGGATGGTATCATCCGCGGTGAACGCATCTGCGGTTCTACACCACGTTGTTGAGCGACCGCTTGGTGGGGAATCGGCTGTGAAGGAAGCATGGGCGATGCTGCAGCGAGGGGGCTTCTGACTGACGCCGGAGATATGCCGTTTGGGCTTTGCGCTCCAGAATGCGACTGCATATATGGTGAATTATACTGCATATTCGACTGGCCCGCTAGTGCAGACACAGGGGTAGGTACAGCTTGACCTGGAAAGGGCACGCTGTGAGGAGCAGTGACACTAGGAGGCCCTGTACTGTCCCTCTGCGTCGCCGCAATGGCCTCACGGTACATAGCCACGATTTCCATGTTCTCGCGGCGCCTCTGTTCAGCGGAGATCGGCTCCTTGAGGCTGCGCATAAAGTAATCCTGGTCTCGCATGTAAATTGCTCGCAGCGAGCTCTCGCCCACGGCGCCAGGAATCCGCCGGGCTAAGCACAAAAAGATGTTCAGCTGCAATGTAATCGACATAACGCCGAGTGATTTCATATCATCCACGAGCGGTGGATGTCCTTGACTCTGTACGTGTGCTTCAAAACGAGGCCACTCCGCCACTAAACTGGCCAAGAGACGCAGCATTTGATGGTATTGGGTCTGATACCGCCAATCCTTGAAGATCTCAGACAATGGATAGGGAAAATCAACACACCATCGTAGAATGTGAGGCGCGATTCGCTGATTGTCGACCAGGAGACTCCGGATAATAGACAAACCATGCATATGCTCCAGAGTAAACCCGGGAAGTTTCGGAAGCCCTGCCGGGTCATAGCTGCTAAGGCAGTAAACTTGATGAAGGGTAAGATATACGACGTCTCGGTGAGTGAGCGCGTGGTCTAAAAGATGAAGCCGTGGTGCTTCCACCCGATCGTTAGCAAGCAACGATGGACCCTCACTCGCCATGAACGCTTCCAAGTTACGTTTTGCGCGCACGCAAAAATCCGGTGTGATGACTGAAGGGCGGTTGGCAGCCAGTGCGTGAATGGCGGTAATCGGTTGCTGTTGCTGTGATGGAGAAACTGCAGTGATTGGAGCAGGGTGAGCAGGGTGAGAGTGGCCAGGCCGAGCATATTGTATGATGGGCGGGCTTCCGCTAATCGGTGGTTGCTGTTGCAGTGATGGAGAAGCTGCAGTGATTGGAGCAGGAGAAGCAGGGTGAGAGTGGCCAGGCGGAGCATATTGTAGGATGCGCGGGCTTCCAGAATGAACCAAATGAGGATTTCCTTGTTGAATGGTCGGTATAGAGTCCGGAAATGTCCCTACTGCGGGACCATTCGGTCGCGCCGGCAGTTGATTCGGAGGAGCTTGCTGAAGGGGAGGCGACGGAAATGCAGTTGCGGATGGACTGGCAATAGGAGGAACATTTCTTTCAACAGCAGCTATTGGACTAGCATGCGGCCTAGGGGGTATGGAGGGATCCGGGGAAGGGAGGGAAGCCGACTGCTGCTCCAGATGAGTCTGCAATTGCTGTTTCTGCTTTTGTTTCTGCGGCTGGTGGCGTTGCTGTTTTTGCGGCCGCGGTTTCTGTTGCTTTTGCTGTTGCGGTCGAGCATCGACTGGTCTAGGAGGGAGAGTATGGTTTTGAAGGGCCGGCGAGCGCGTTATGGATGGATGTGGTGTATTGGAGGTGGCCGAGATCTGAAGACGAGGAGGCGCATCTCGCGTAACTGCGGGGGCTGACGAGGCGACAGGATTTTGGTTACCGCGGAATGAAGTGAGGTTCTCTTGTGAAGGGGACAAAAGATCGCTCATGCCTGTCGGACGCGTCGAGGGAGAGTCGTCCGCGGCCAGGGTCGGCTTCGGGGCGGGGGGAGTTGAACGAGCAGTCGAACGAGCAGTTGAACGAGCAGCGGCCGGTGAGGCTGGACAAGGCGGAGAAAGAGGAGCAGAAGGTGAGGGCTCCGGGAATTGTACCGGCTTGTCGCGCTGGCGGGGAGGACGAGGATTCTTGTCGGGAGGAGTCGTCGTCAACCAAGTTAAATTCCGATTCCGAGCGGCGCCCAGAAATATGCTGAGGGTGGAGTTGGCCGAGCTGGTCCCCGACACGGTCTTGCGACGGGCTGGCTCGGGCGGACGACTGGTCTTATTAGCCATGGGCGAAGTCATCCTGGCATGTTGGGAGCACTTTAATAGGCGAAGACGATGCAGGATGTTTGATGCCGACTCCCGTTGTTTGTCCGCAATCAAGTCGCAGGTGGTGAGTTTCCAATTCGGGAGGGCCTGAAGTCGGTGAGGAGAAAAAGAAACAAAGACTCAAAGAACAAACACCAGAGGCGCCGGATGGCTTGCTATTTATGCTGGGTCCTGCTATTCATTCAGGGTGGTATTCTGGTATTCACAGGGCTGGTTCCTTGACCGTTCACTGTGTTTGGTGCCACTCTAGTGAACATCCTATATCACTAGGCAAGACTACTCCAACTCAGCGAATGATGGATCTACACCAGGCTCTCTCCATTAGCCAGCTAAATGGCTTGGACCAGGGCCTGACCCAGGAGCAGAAGGCAACAGATCTTCTAGATACATTGGTGGCCTTCTTCTGGATGGTTCTACCAGGTCCTTTGACCACAACATCAGCCGCTCGGCTCTGGCTTGCCATTCGATTTATGCCCATGGCTACCTACATATCATCACTGCAGCGAAGTCGTGGCTTCATCAGTGTCCTGCGGTCGGTAAGCACATAGCCGGGAAAAGGCAGTCCGCCCTTCTGACGAGTAATACTCCTCGAGTGGTCTCTTGACTTTTGGCGCTCCGAGACAAGAGTGTGTTTTGAGACAGCAGCAGTATGGCTTGTCGGGGTTTGAGCCGTACCCCAGAGACCTCAAGCTCCAAATTTAAGGCATTGGGCTTAACGCCAGCTCTTGCTGGTCCAATGCAAGCACCTGTCCATTTACACGGCATACTGCCAGGATCATGCAATGAACCGCGATTTCGAGGAATATATCAGCAATTTGAACCAGTCAGAAAGACCGTTTGGGGCTGTCGCCACTGGGAGGAGCATCAAGCTCTGTCAATTTGAAGGCAGGCGATTGCCCGGCCACTGATAGCTCGGAGTATCCAGAGCACTCTCGACATATGCGTTAGAAGGTACGCAGAGGTCGAGAGTAAGATGAATCATCTCAAGATGAACGGAGGGAAATGGACTAGCAGTGACTCCCGTGGATGCTAAGGGCTTGCCAGGCTCACAGAGTCGAAGTCTACATTAGACATGTTCCCCTGTGACCCCTGGTCTTGGCTTGGAAGCAGATTTTGGTCTCGTCTGGAGCAGAAAAATAGAGGAATGCAGGGATCCGTAGACCACACAGTACATAGACAGATGTTCAGCACGAGTCACAACCTACAAGAGTTATCTTGGGGCCTCATTAAAGTTGGACATTCCTCGTTGGGAATGACTTGACGAGGTCAGTCTCCGATTGCATTTCATAAAGTTGTCGATCGCTCACCTACGGAGCCGGGAGTATATATCAGAGCAGAACAGTCTAAACGAGCAGAGGCTCTGCCACGTTCAAGGATATGACGCGCTAACCCTCTGTCGAGAATACAATCCAGGATCATTGATCTGTGCAGCAGCTTAGTATCAAATATAGAAAGAGAGAAAGTACCCCGTAGGAGTCAACAAAGAGATATGTTCAAAGAGGTCACATGACCTATACCCATCCAGCGTCTGACGTTTTCATCAAGAAATAATGGAGACGACAATTATCATTTCAGATACGGAGAGCTCTGGGTAACGATTCAAGCATGTTAAAATAGAAGTCTGTTAGCTCAATTGTACTCCGTCAGGTAGTATGCTGGCACCAATCGCAGACACGTCCGAACTGACACTTCAGCTTCGACTTCCAACTCTCTGGAGTTCCCATCCTCGCCAATTGTCCACTTGAAAGGACCATCGACGTGACAATAGTCGTTCCTTCCTCGTCCTTCCCTTCCTGGCTGGAATTCTGGTCCGGGCCTCGACCAGAACCATACCACCACAGAGTCTACCCCCCACCTCGAGCAGGGCAGTCCAGAATTTAGAGCTTGGATCAGGGAAAACCCTTCTGCTACTACTACCAGACACTCTTTTATCTTTTACTATCTTTATCGTCATATACTACTCCATATCCATCTCTCGAGTGTCCCCATTAAGAGCGGTGGTGACGCCCGCTGCGCAGATCCGCCCTTGCTCTTATATTAAGCCCATATTGCATCGACTTATTACGGCATCGGAGGACGGAGAATTCCCATCGCCTGTGACCTCTCCCTTTCTTCTCCCTTGTCCTCGTCGTTTCTCTGCCTGTTGGTTTCCCTGGGGTCTCCTCGGGCTGAGCACCATGGCGCTGTCTTCCGCGCCTCGTGCGTATCACACAGGAGATCTTCTCCTCGTTATTCGTGAGTTTCTTTACGCTCGTTTCCCGGTCGCGAAACGCTCCTCCTACCCCACTCTCTTACCTTCCGCGCCTCGGTCTCCTCCGCTTCTCTGTTGTCTTACTATGTGACTGATACATGCCAATTAATGTATAGATGATTTCGCCGCGCGCTCAGAGGATGAACTCGACTTGCGAAAGGGTGAGAAAATCGAGTTGGTCGAGCTGGATGATGGCTTCGGCGATGGATGGTACCTAGGGAAGGACATGAAGACTGGAATGACCGGTCTTTTCCCAGGAGGTGTGTGACCTGTCCGATCCTTCATACAATGACGCGATTGTTGATTTACTAATGTGGACAATTGCCGTTCCTAGTCTATACCACCAGAGCACCCAATATCCCTGTGCGACCTCGGACCGATACGTTAGATTCGAATGCGCTTAAGTCAGACGGAGATGGGGAAACATCACTCTACCAAGGGATAGGCACACCGGACTCTGGAGACTTGGTTTCGACTTCCAAGAGCGAGGATTCGACTCCGCATGCGTCTCGACACGTTAGCATGACCGACCTTGGAGGTGCTCACGGACAAAACGAAACGAACCCGTCCTTGCTAGCGCCAAAGCAGCAGCAACCTCCAAATCGGTCGAGTTCTTCCCCCCTGCCGAACAGCAAGCTAGCGAGCGACATCCAACAATCACTGCGACAGACACTTGATCCCCACCCCAACGGTCAGGACAGTCCAGTCATGAACGAGACACTAAGTGTCATTGATGAGCATATTACGGACCTCAGCACCCCACGCCACAGCGTAAAGCCACCAGCTGACCAAAAAACGTTAAATGACTCCGCTAGTGAGTACAGTAGCCATCTAGACCACCGAATGTCGTACATAAACGGCCATGAAACCGATGAGGAAGAAGGCAATCAACCCTCTGAGGAAGAGGTTCGAAGGTGGGAAGTTGGAGAGACCGTTAAACAACTGCGTCAGCTCGGGGTGGAAGACAAGCATTGCGATATCTTTGAAGAACAGGAGATCTCCGGAGACGTGCTTTTGGATATGAACCAGGATTTCATCATGATGAAGGAATTCGATTTCGGTGTAATGGGACGACGACTGAAAACCTGGCATAAAATCAAATCGTTCCAGGAAGAGATCAAAGGGTACAAAGACCAACAGTCATCGACTGCCCGAGGCTCGGTTGCCGCGTTTTCGACAATGTCTGAAGAGCGCTCTCAGAGCCGCGCTGGTCAGACAGGGCCGCTGCGTCCGCGAATACCGAACTTTAGAGGGTCATTCAGTAGCACTCAACACCCCCGTTTGGTCAGCAATAATCTGCAAAGTGAGACGAGCCCTCCTATAACCCCGCAAACACCATCAACAGGGTTTATGGACCATACTCGCCGACCTTCTGCCGCGTCGATCCGGGAGATTAACCACCAAAGGCGACATTCGTCATTGGACGCTACAAGTCGTTACTCGATAACCGGGGAAACGTCTCCGCACGTCGGAATGTCTCACGGAAAGAAGGGATCTTTCGATCGTGGTTGGACCATGTCTCTCGGAGCGCAGCGGGCAACCCCGCGTCCAGGAACCGCCCTGGGGGCTCCCAGTGCCGGAGTTCAATATTCCAATGGAGTGGACTCGGCTGTAGCTGATGATTTGGACCGTGGGTATTTCTCAGGCCCGGAGACAGACCACCGAGTGCAGCGAAGAGTTCTTCAGAAGCGAACATCGGTAACCGGTAGTGCTCACTCATTGCAACCAAACCAACCCGATGAGCAACTCAAGACCACTCGAAGACATTCGCGGATCAGCAGCTTGGACTCAATAACAGACCCTCCTCCCGCTTTGAATGCGGGTACTACCTACCCCCTCCCTTCTTCCAAAGGACGATTGCGGAGTTTGAGCACCCGTATTTCTGCTCAGCAATCCTCTCACAGTTCCGGATCCAAGGGATCTAGCGGTGGATTCCTCTCTTCATTTGGTCCAAAGGCCGGAAAGCCGGACTCGGATTCTGCACGTACCGCGCCGCAACCGTTGCAGCAGATCAAAAAGGCGGGACCTAAATTCCGGCGTGCTGTTGGGCTCCGAACGTCCGAGGCAACTGGCAAGGGCGCCGATGCAACTGCGGTTCCGGCATCCCCTGTTAATGATGCCGATCCGGCCTCTGTTCGAACAGGGTCGACGACGCCTTCGACGTCGAAGAGCTCTGAACGACATAGCACTGATGGCTCTGGGAAAACAGCAGAAGGCGGTATATCAGTGCCACGAGCTCGACCGTCTGTCAAGTCAGGGGTGAAATCGAAAAAAGACACCAGTGCCTATACTCGAGGCCTGGAGAAGAAGACTCCACAAGAACAGATGGATGGCTGCGATTTCTCCGGATGGATGAAGAAACGGTCTTCAAACTTAATGACCACCTGGAAGCCTCGTCTATTTGTTTTGCGTGGTCGTCGCCTTTCTTATTACTATTCCGAGAATGATACAGAGGAACGGGGCTTGATCGATATCACCGCTCATCGGGTTCTCCGAGCTGACAATGATCCAATTGTTGCGCTACATGCGACGATTACGGGCGCCACAGTCTCGCCTACGTCACCTGCAGGTAGCGCGCAGACTGGTAATGGCTCAGTCTCAGAAAACGGTTCGACGTCGGAATCTAAGCGCGGGTCGCGCTCGGACAAGGAAGGTCCCTTCTTCTTCAAACTCATACCGCCAAAGACGACTCGCACGGTGCAATTCACGAAACCCGCGGTCC